ACTTCACACCTGCAGCGGGGACAGGAGGCTCAGGGAGGAGGGCCCAACATGGGCAGAGGACCAGGGCCCATTGGCCCAGAGCTGTGGTGGGCAGGGAATGGGGCAGTCGGTGCTCCTGTGGGGAGGCAGGGCATCTGCAGGTCAGCTGGCAGCACTTCTAGCTTTCTCTGGTTCTGAGTTAAAACTGGGTGGAAATTGGAGTGGAAATTGCAGAGGCGGTGGCCAATGACCGAGGGCTGACCACAGGAAGCTGGGCAGTGCAGGGTCTGCCTATGTCTGTTTACTCCATCTCATGACCTCTCCTGAGGAGAAGAGGTACGAGCTTGCCAGACAGAGTGGCCTGTGTCCACCCTAACAAGGAATAAATCGGCAAAGGGGCTTTCCCAGGAAGGGACCTTGGGCCCGATGCTCATTGATGCCCGGGACAGGCCATGGTGCTGAGTGAACAGGGCCCAGCCGCTTACCAAGGGTTCTTCTGCAAGGATGCCTGTCCAGTCTCGGACCTAAGCTGACACTGGAACCACAGTGGCCACCACGGCCAAGGTCACTGTTTCAACCCCTGCTCACCCTCCTCAGTTTGCCTCAAGAACTCCCTGCCTCCTCTGGTCCCAGGGGCTCAGGAGCCGTGGTTAGGGTGCACATGCCTCCCCCTAGAACCACCCCCTAGCCAGAGCTGAGGCTGGCAGAGGCACCAAGCAGTCTTGGTAACCACACGACTCCAGGAAGGACCCCACACCCCTGAGGACATGCATGTGGCCAGGAAGCATGAGAGGGGCCTGGAGACACTGGTCGGCAGCCAGCATGGCTGGAACTGAGCCCAGGACCACTGTGGCTCCAGCTCAGGCCCAGGAAGCTCTGTGGGTCAAGCCTCTGGATGCCAACACGAGTACAAGGAGCCTGGGCTGCCCCTCTCGCCTCACGTCTCCCTTGCTGTTCCTACAGTGAGCCGAAGCAGGATCTGTGAACACGGGCAAGCCACGTCCTGCCTCTGCGTCTCAAACACGCCAGCCTGTGGCCCTCAGTGGCACACAGATTCCACGGCAAAGCTCCTCATTCCCAGATGCATGTCATGGTGGTGTTAGACTGAGAGGAGAAGGTCTCCTCTCCACGGGTGACCCAGCTTGGGGTCCAACGTGGAGAAACTTGGTGAACGTGTGTGAGAAACTTGAGACCAGGTGCAGTGGCCACGCCGTGATCCCACCCGCACGGAGGCTGGGACAGCAGGATCACAAGTTCCAGGCCAAAATAAAAATAAAAAGGACTGGGGCTGCGGCTCAGGTAGCAGATGCCCAGGCTTAAGCCCCAGGGCAGAAAATAAATAAGTTAAACAGAAAGGGAGACAGAAACCCAAGATGCCAAGTGTAGCTCTCAGAGCTGTCATGCACAGGGGTGGACAAGGGGGCCGCTCTCCGGGCCCTCCAGCCCTCCAGCCCCTCGAGGGCTCCAGATGCCACCCTCACACGTGGGTTGTGTCCAGCAAGCTTTTTACTTCTTTATGTTTTGATTCTGGGGATTGAACCCAGGGGTACTGACCACTAAACCACGTCCCCAGCCCTTTTTGTTGTTTGAGACAGAGTCTCACTAAATTGCTTGGGGGCCTTGCTGAGCTGCTAAGGCTGGCCTTGAACTCTCAATCCTTCTACCTCAGCCTCAGGAGCCAGGGTCACAGGTGTGGCCACCACACGCTCAAGGTAGCACTTTAGAGGAGGAAGTGCTGTTTCACTAAGCCTGGGAGGTGCCAGGGGCTCTTTCCTGGCTCTGCTTCACACCACCCTGCGTTCTTCTGACCCATGCACCTGACTCTGGCAGGAAGAATACCTGTGCTGCTCCTGAGCCATGGCTTGTAGGAAACCTAGACCCAAAGCACAGACCCTCATGTAGCAGAGTGTCCTGCTGGGCGGGGCGGGGGCTCCGTCCTAGCTGAGGTGCTGCTCTGTCCTTAGGGGAGGCCCCCTGGGCACTGCAGGGTGACCCTTGTGCTCATGTGGGATGGGGGCGGGAGTCCTGTGACACAGTGGGTGCCAGAGCCCCAGACCTCCTGGGCCCCTCCCCTGTCCCAAACCTGCCAGACCCAAGCCCCTCAGATTCACAGCATGTCCCTGTGACCACTGTCCCCAGTCAAGGGGGCAAATAGGGCAGGATGGCGTGTGTTCCGCAGCTGTGACCTGCCCTTGGGGACATTCCTGTGTCTGCTGAAACCTCAGTCCAAGTCCCTCCCCCATCCTGCTCATCTTACCACGTCTGCCCTGGGGCTGGGGGTCTGCCGTCTGTGGCCAGCACCCACCCAGGGCCCTGCCGAGCCAGCAGGCAAAGGCAGTGAGCTGGGTGGAGACAGAGCCCTGCCTGACCCCTGGCCCTCCCGGGAGGTCAAGGGCAGGTTGTCTACTGATGTCTTCAGCAGTCTGGGAAGTGGAAACCCCCAAGGTCAGCTGCACTTTGCAACACCAGGAGACCTCCAAGGAGCCAAGGGGCATGATGGCCATGACCGCACTTCACAGGAGGACAGCCGAACCCAGGTGACTTTGTCCCCTCCAAGTCCCTGGAATCCTGTCGGCCCTGGCTCAAGGGCACTACATACTGCTGGGGCCTGCACCAGGGCCGAGTGGTGCCTCTCAGACTCAAGGCAGTTGGCCAGGAGGGGTCAAAGCACAGCTGGGAAGAGTCCTGTGTCCATGTGACCCTGGAATGCGGCTGGCAGAGAGCAAATGGAGGCAACGCCAGGCAAGCAGCAGGTGCTGGGCAAGGAGGGGGCATCTTCAGTAGCCCACCTGGCTGTGCTTTCAGGCATGGCTCACCCACCCTAACCCTGCCTGAGGTCCCTGCAGACCCCTGAGGGGCTGGCCACAGGTGTCAATGGATAGGCAGGGGATCTCTGGGACTGGCTTTCTGGCTGGGGTGCCCTGGACGGGAGGAGCAGCGTGCTGCAGACACTGAGGCCATCCCACGTCCACCTGTTCGCTGTGCGGAGCTCACCTCACGCAGAGCACAGGGGCACTAGGGTGGCATGCAGCTCCGTCCCCCTGCGGCCCTCCGCTGGACAGCATGGCATGGTGGCGGCCCTCACGCATGCTTTGCTGACACCCTGCCCAGTCCCAACTGCTGCCTGGCAAGGACGCCTGATGGGGAATGGAGTGTGGTTCAGTGGTAGAGACCTTGCCTGGCACCCACAGCCCCCTGGGTACCATCCCCAGAAAGAGGAGGCTCATGCTATCCTGGGAGGAGGAGGCCCATGCAGTCCTGAGGGAGGAGGCCCACCTGGCCTGAGAGAGGAGGCCCACACTATATTGAGGGGAGGAGACCCATGCTATCCTAGGGGGAGGAGGCCCACTCTGTCCTGAGGGAGGAGGGCCAGCTGTCCTGAGGGAGGAGGCCCACACTATCTTGAGTGGAGGAGGCCCACTCTGTCCTGAGGGAGGAGGCCTACTCTGTCCTGAGGGAGGAGGCCCACACTATCCTGAGGGGAGGAGGCATATGCTATCTTGGGGGGAGGAGGCCCACTCTGTCCTGAGGGGAGGAGGTTCACTCTGTCCTGAGGGAGGAGGCCCACCTGTCCTGAGGGAGGAGGCCCACCTGTCCTGAGGGAGGAGGCCCATGCTGTCCTGGGGGCAGGGAGTCTGCACTCTCTATGAGGCTGGAATGGGTGATGTTTTGGTGGTCCTCCCAGGGCCACTTGGAGTTGCAGCTGTTTGACTCAGCTTCCCCACCATCTGGGAGGGCCACCCCATCCTTTCCCCCACCAACAGACAGAGCACCCGATGTCCACAGCTTGGGCTGCCAGACGCGCACTGCCCCTCCCATGTGTGAGGGCTGGCCCTGGTTTTCTCTCCGCTCTGCGGTGGCCTCTGCCCCACAGTGCCCAAGGTGCCTCCTGGCTTCCTGGGGTCTAGAACTGGGAGCCCTGCCTGGCTCAGCCAGCTGTGGGTGCGCTCGCCCGGGAGGGTGGAAGGCCCTGCGTCTGCACAGGCAGAGGAGCAGGGGTGTGACTTGGTCTTCCTTCCTAGCTATTTGAGCTGCTATGAGAGTTTTAAATTGTCTTGTCTGGAGCTTTTGAACTCCTGTCACTCCTCAGTCCACGTGAGGCCAGTCAATTGTTCCCTGTAGTCTGTACCTTGGGAGGGGAAAGAGTCTCCCAACAAACCTCCTCCAATTCCACCCCTAAAATCCAGCATCAGGGTCCCTGCTGGCCCACTGTAGGTCCTGGTCTTTTCCTGGCCACTCCTAGTGCTGAGAGGTGGTGTAGGGGCAAGTGCCTTTGTCCATAGATGGTCGCTTATGGGGAGAGTGTCTGGGGCCAGTGGAGGGCCCATGGTGCTACAGGGCCAAGGGTCCCTGGTTGCACAGGGCGGGCCCTAGGAGAGCTGTGGACACACAAGCATGTAGGTGCTGCCCCTGAGAACTACAAACAGGGTCTCTGGTGCCAGTCAGGGAGGCCTCCCTGTGGGGCTCCCAGGCCAGTTCTGGGGAGAAGCAGCCCATGCACAAAGGCAGAGGTGGTCAGATCCCAGCACTCTGCCGATGCCCCACGAGCTCAGCGGAGGTGCAGCCTCACTAGGAGGAGGTGTTCACACTTTTCTGTTCTGCATTAAAACGAAGGCGCTAATGGCCAGAACAGGGCAGAGACGGCCCTTGGCTGTACCCTGCTAGGGGACAGTCTGTGGATGGCAGCAAGGACCCCAGTTTTCCCCTTTCAAGGACAGGCCAGACTCTAGAGATGCACAAGGACCTGTGGGGGCCAGGCTAGGGAAGAGCTGGGTGAGTGCAGGGGTGGGGTCTTCTAGAGGAGTGGACCTACTCTGAACAGCGGGGTGGGCACTGTCCATCAGGAGAGCTAGGCCCACAAGAGTGTGAGCCATAGACTTGGTGCTGGGCTGGTGGACTGGGACCCCCACGCCTGTTAATGATGGGAGACAGGGAGCTGTGGGAAACCTGAAGGGCATGGGGGGCGGGTGGTTGGAAGCCCTGGGGGAGGCTCATGGCTGCCTCTGTAGGCCTGTGCCGTCATGGCCCGAATGGTGTGGAGCCTGCTGCTGCTGCTGCTGCTACCACCGCTGTTCCTGACAGGGATCCAGGACAGGAGGAAGGGGGGCCACAAGGTGAGGGCGGCCCTGCCCTCTGGGTGCCTTTGTTCTCTAGTGGGCCCGGAAAGGAAGGGCAGCCCAGTGGACTGGAACTGCAGGCAAGCCTGGTGTGGAGACCCAGGCCTCACAGGGTCAGGGTTGGGGTGGCGGGGAGGCCTGGCCCCAGGCAGGACCTGAAGGGAGCTGCCATGGCACTATCCTGGACCCCTCTCAGTGGACCTACCAGGACACAGGAGGACAAGGGAGACCGAACCTGAGGGAAGGTGCTGGGTCTCAGAGCCTCCCTCACTCCTTCCTGGGCAAACATCTGGTTCTGCTGATCTCCCCCAAACCCTGCAGCCACATCCAGAGGATCTGATCCCTTGGAACCTCCCTCCCCTCTCTCCAACCTGCGTCTCTCCAGCACAAACCCTCAGCCTACAGGATACATGTGCCAAAAATCTCCCTGGGTGGAGACCCCTACGGGGTCTGCCTGCTCCTGCTCCTGGTTAGCTGTATGACCCTGGGAAAGTTACTTGTGCTCTCTGAGCCCCAGTCTCTTCACATATAAATGCCAGTTTGAGTCCCTAGTTGGAGGATGGTTGACCCCAGGAAGCCCTCTGGGGACCGCCCTCCAGGAGGCTGGGTCTACGAGGCGGGTCCTGGAGCAGGTCGCAGCGCCCAACCTTCCAGGTGATCCGAGAGCCCTGTGAGCACCACGAGGAGTGCCAGAGCAAATGCTGCGTCACCAACAACCTGAGCCCGCAGCGCTTCTGCACGCCCAAGACCTTCTTCCTCCAGTGCCTGTCCTGGACCAAGGTGCGGCGGGCGGCGGGCGGCCGGGGAGGGTGCGGAGGCAGGAGGCGTGTGGTCCCCGCAGCCCAATGGGTACAGCTGCCAGGATCACTCGGAGTGCCAGAGCGAATGCTGCGTGAGGAGCAGCCAAGTGCCGATGCAGTTCTGCACGTCCAAGACCGTCTTCCTGCAGTGCGTGCCCTGGCGCAAGGTGTGCGCCAGGTGGGGCGGCGCTGGGAGGAGAGGGGCGGCGCCTGGGGCGTCGCCTGGCGGGGAGGGGGCGAGGCGGTGACGTGGGCCGGTTTCTCCAGCCCAACGGAGAATTCTGCCGAAGCCACAGCCAGTGCTGGAGCCAGTGCTGCCTCCACGTGCCCCAGATCAGCGCCTTCCGCTGCTCTGCCCGCAACGGCATCCTGGCCCAGTGCCTGCCCCTTGTGAGTCCACCCTGCCCGCGGGGTCTTCGCTGGACAGCAGTGCCTCGGGGCAAAGGGCAGGGGGCCCTGCTGGACCCCGGGTTCATTTGTGAGGCGGGAGAGTGTATGGGGCTCTGGGTGGCGCTGGGCCTTCAGGTCTGGCTGCACACAGGTGCACATTAATGTAGGGTTGTCACAGAGGGGCCAGCAGCTGGACCAGGACCCAGAAGCCAAGCCCTGGGACTGGGTGGGACTGGCCGGAGTCACAAAGCACCAGTCCTCCTGCATGCCGGAGTCTGCGTGTCTGTGTGGGGTCCGCCACGTCAGGCAGGGGGCTGGCCCTTCTGGGGAGTCCCTGTCCAGCCGGGCTCCCCAGCTCCGCGGTCCTGACTTCTGGCTGCCCCTAGTCATGAGCAAGAACCTGCGGCGGCGCCGAGCCTGGACTGCCAAGAAACCGCGGGACTCCAAGCTCCTTTCGTGCTCCCGCGCGGGCTCCTGCGCCTGCAGGGAGCAGAGCCCTCGGTGGCGCGCGGGTGGTCGCTGGCGTGGTGCGCGGCCAGATTGTGCGAGGAATAAACCCGTGACGAGGAGGCGGTGTCTTCTCCCTCCTTGCCGCTCAGTACCGCGGCCCCACCTCCTCGGAGGCCCCGGGCGCCAGGGGCCGGGCCCACCCGAGACTCCGTAATTAAGCCGCAGAAACGCATGTGGCCACCACCGGTGAAAGCAGTAAGTTGGCCATTCAGCTGCAGAAGCGTCCTCGAGAGAAGCGCTGGTGGACGCAGGTCGGCGCCGCGCCTCAACGAGCCCAGGACCTTCCCGCGCCCGGCCCTGGGCGCTCCGGAAGCCGGGCGCCCTCCGCCCTTCGCGGCGAGCCCTCCTCGGGTGGCGTGGGTCCCAGCCCGGCGCGGTCTGCGCGGGTCCCGCTAGGCTGCCGCGAGCCTTGGCTGTTACTGGAGAGCAGCGAGCGCCAGGCTGAGTCTCCAGCCTGGGTGTCGTTAGAAGCCCCGTGAGAGCCCCTCAACGTGTGCCTGAAGGACTACCAGAAACCGCCTCAAGAGGGAGCTCAGAATCCGGCGCCGGGTCCCTCTCCCGTGCTCCAGCTCTGGTGCCTGCGTCCAGACAGCAGGCAGCTGGTCCCGGTGCCGCGAGCGCAGGGCCCTGCAGCTCCAAGGGCTGCCCCTGGGTGGCGATGAGGCCTGGGGAAGCGGCCCAGGGCTGCTCCAGTAAGGGTGGAGGTCGCCCCCTGGGGTCCCTGACTTTCCCCTTTTCAGAGAACCCTGAAGTGAACACCTGGCTGCTGATGCAGGGCAGGTGCCGGCCAGAGGCACAGGTGACCTCCACCGAGGCCGGTGAGGAACAGCCTCACAAGGAATGTGCCCCCTGCGGCCCAGGGAGAGGAGCTCTCCTCCCAGCCGCTCCTTGCTGCTCTGCCTGCCTCTGAAGCAGCCCACACCGCTCTGACCTCGATGGGCCTCCCCTGCCGCCAGGAGTCACCCTGCTGCCCTTCAGAAGCCCCCCAGCTATCTGCAGGCATGGCATGCCCTCTGGCTTTAAGGGAGAGTGAGCCTGTGACTTTCCTGACCATTGGAGGGGCCAGCTAAATTACTTTTTGTTCAGAAGCCCTAACATGGAATTTTTAAAAATCTTGGTAAAATACACACAGCATAAAATAGGCCACTTTGTTATCTATTCATTTTGCAGTGGTGAGGAGTGAAGTCAGGGCTGCTGCCACTGAGCCTCATCCCTAGCCCTTTTTATTTTATTTTGAGACAAGGCCTTGCTAAATTGCCAAGGCTGGCCTCCATCCTGTGATCCTCTTGCCTGGGCCTCCAGGCTTGCATCACAGTGCCAGGCTAACATCCCCCAGTTTAAGCAGCTTTAAACGTGTGGTTTAGTGCAGTAAGCCCATACTGCTGTCACCACCACCTCCATCCACACTGCCTTGAAGTCTCCTTAGACTGGATGTTTGCCCCAGGATCCATGTTAAAATCCTCACCCCACGATGTGTGGTGTGTTAGGTGCGACGCCCTCAGGAGATGGGAAGGCCCTGGAGCCTCGTGAGTGGGACCTGAGTAGGACAGGGTTCTGAAGAGAGACCTGAGAGCAGTCTGTCCCTTCCCCGGGAGGACCCAGGCAGGAGGTGCCTTTGTGACCCAGCAAGTGTCCTCACTGGAAGCTGCCTCTGCTGCACCACCTCTTGACCTCTGGCCTCCAGAACATGGAGAATGGGTGCCTGTGTCTCTGAGCCACCAGGCTGAGTCATGTCACAGTGGCTGAATGGACTGTGGTCCCAAATTGAAACTGATACCACTGGTTATTGGTGACGAGTCCTGCTTCCCCACATGTTGAAGTTTGAACATTAGAGAAGCAACCTAGGCAAGCATATGAAGCAGGGTTTATTTAAAAAAGGGTAATGTAGACTAGACTTTTCCCACGAGGGAGAAGGGGGCCGTGGCTGGTGTCCTGGTATCCCAAGAGGGGAGGTGTTCTGCCCTTTTTATGTCCTAGGCTTTCTTTGTTCTTCTGCCCTCTCCCCAGGAATGCTCGTGGCCAAAAGGTGGGAGACAGGTGGGCTGAAGGGGGAAGGGCAGGTGGAGCAGCCAAGGACACAGTGACAAACTTACAGCTCCCTGTGGGGAGGGGCAGTTCCTGGGACAGGTTACCTTGGCAACAGGTTGAAGCAGGGGCAGGTTCTTGATAGGGTGGAGGAAGGGCTCTGAGGGAATTAACATTTCAGTCCCTCAGGGACCTCTCCAACTTGCTGGACTCATTCAAAATTGGCCTCCTGGATCCCACCTGACTCAATTAACTTGATTGTCTGTGCAATTCTGGCTTCAGGACTGCACCACTGTGCACCAGACATTTAAAAAGGCCCAGGGCTGGAGCAGAGGCCACACCTGTGATCCCAGGGGTGGGGGGGGAGGGTGGGGGTGTGTGGGGGGGTGTCAGGGCAGGAGGGTCCAAGTTCAGACTAGCTGGGCAAGTTAGCAAGGCCCTGTCTGGAAATAAGAAATGAGAAGCAAACCCTGGGCTCAGGGCCTCTCAGCGTCACCAGTTGCTGTGTGTGCGTGCAGAGGACGGAGCTAGCTCACAATAAACACCTCTTTGCTGCTTACATCGATCTTGGGTCTCTGGTGGTCTTTGGGGGTCCCGAATTCGAGCATAACAGGCGCAGGTGCTGTCAGGAAGATGGGGAGGCTGTGCTGCTGAGTGGCTCAGAAGGAGAGGCACTCTGGAGGGTCAGGAGGGGCTCAGCCAGAGGACGGCACTCCTGCAGGGGCTTGGGCCTCCACAAGGGGGAGAGGAAGGGCCTTGGGCAGCTCCGTCTGCCATGGGGAAGTTGGAAACCTGCAGCTCCCAAGCCAGTTGGGCGGAGCTGCTGGGCTCAGCCTGGGGTGTAGGCCAGACAGGTGGGGTGCAGGGGACAGTGCAGATGCTGTGCTGGCAGGGACACAAGAAGGCTAGCCTGGGGGCCTGTGACTGAGGGTTTTCCCTGAAGCATGAATGACAAAGCCCATAGCCAAACCCCAGGAACCTCCAAGGAGTGGGGTTTCAGAAGACCATAGGGAGGAAGGGAGCCAGGGACAGAATCAGAGCCAGATGGACAGAACAAAAACTCAAGGGTTTTATTCCTATTTTTTGCAAAGAAATAACAAATAATGATTGATGGAGAGGAAATACCATCGTCAGGGATATGAATGGTGACAAAGTCACAGGTGAGGGAACAAAGCTCAGGAAGGCTGTTTCAGTGCTCAGGCCATTCCCAGCAAGTTCTAAACCATCCAGGCTGTCCTCAAAGCCTGTGGACATGCCAGAGCCCAGTGGCGTCTTAGAATCAGAGGGAGCTGACAGCGGGCCTGGGCACACCCTGGGCAGGGGCCTACAAAACCCTGGCACCAGAGACAGCAGCTGCCAGGTTCCTGTGAGGCTGACCCCTTGGGTGCAGCCACATCAGGAGGCTGAGTCCTGTGGGATGTGTGCATGCAGCACAGGGGCCGCCTTCAGGTCCCACATGGGTTCAGGAGGTGAGTGGGGGTTGCTTGTTCGAGGGGCCCCCTAGAGTGCTTGACCCCTGAGCCACTGTCCCCAGCTCTTTTTTTTTATATCTTTTTTTTTTTAATTTTT